ACAAAGATACACAATTGACCCCCTGGCATCCCGTATGAATTTAAGAATTGAGTTTTCAACTCAAAAAACACTCACTTGTAAAAATTTACAAGTTGAATTTCGTTACATGTGTATGTATATATATACACGTATAAGTTTCTACTCAAAACATTTTGAGAATGGCTCGTAAAGCCTTATACATATTTAAGTTTAATGTTTTATGATATTTAATATAGGTGATACGTCCTGGGAACTCCACGGACCCTTTTTCTTGCAACGTGACGCGCCGACATACAATAAATTCCTTTTTTTTCTCAATAAATAACACAAACGGACTTGAACTTCGACGCGATAGGCGCGCAAATAGAAATTGTGTCGACGCCCGAAAACAATAAATCGAGCCTAGAAACGATCTTAAAAATTCTTTCGTAAACAATAGCGAACAGAAACTTTTATTATTGTCTAAACATCCCGAGCAACTTTCCAAATAAACCCGGTTATCTCCGGGTCAAAGAAATACATCCTATAAAATTTAGGACAGCCGGCTCAAGTAAAGATCCGTCGCCACGAGCAATTACATAAAAAAGGTTTATCACTCGATAAATATCGAAGGGTCTATGCGGCGTGATCGAAAAGACAACACTCTCTCTTTTTCCTTCCCCAAAAAATCGGACGAGGCGACCGAAGCGAGAGATCGTCGCCGATTGGCGATCTCGGAATTCGCCCGACCAACTAATTAATAAATAGGAACCAGCAAAGCTCAACTGAGTTTCCGATTGGGAGAGTCCTTGCTTACTCAAAACTGTATATAAGCCAGGGCTCTCAAAATTGGAAAACGAAAAAAACCGTGCCGCATATCTAGTTAGAGCCGCAGATTTTAGAAGTGCCACAGCGAGTGAGTGAGTGACAGTGAGTGCAGAATGTGAGGTCCAAAAGTGAACTACTGCGCCGCAACAGCCTAGAATCTTTTATCACAAGTCCGCAGTAAGTAGTAAGTCTATCCACAAATTTTAATCGGAGGTTCTACCACAGCATATTATTTTGTTTCTCCGCAACCAACTCCCTCCGCAACCAACTCCCTTTGACCACTCTCGCCGGGAGAGCAGTTCGCGACTCCAATCGTGAATAGCGTCCGACCGAGAAACCAACTCCTTTTGACCACCCTCGCCGGGAGAGCAGTTTGCGACTCCAGTCGTGAATAGCGTCCGACCAAGAAACCAACTCCTTTTGACCACCCTCGCCGGGAAAGCAGTTCGCGACTCCAGTCGTGAATAGCGTCCGACTGAGGAGTCAGCTCCTTGTTCGACCACCCTCGCCGGGAGAGCAGTTTGCAATTCCAATCGTGAATAGCGTCTGAATTATTTCATTTTCCTTCCTAAATCACGAAACAAACAAAGCCCGCTTATCTCCAAATATCAGTCTTAGAATCATGACACATCCAAATTTATTCCTATCGTTATTTCCATTGAAACCTAACAAATGAAACAAAACCGAATTTATCAAGATACAAATCTCTAAGATGATTTAAGTTGTATAAACATGGGTTAAGAGNAGAGAGAGAGAGAGAGAGAGAGAGAGAGAGAGAGTCATAAAAATCGTTTACAAGAAAAAGAAAAAAACTATTATGAGAGTCATAAAAATAATTTATTAAGAAAAAATGGTAATCTTTCTTTAAGAGAAAAAAAACAAATTGTTAATAAGAAATATTATGAGAGAGTTAAAAAAATCGTTTACAAGAACAAAATAAACAATATATTAAAAACAGCATATTAAAAAATTAAAATTTTAATATTAGACAAATAAGTAAAGAACAAAAAAAAACAAAAAGAAGAGTTCCTGGGAATAGACCATTACTCGCCCGCGATTTGCGCATACTTCGTGAAGGTCATTGGTTGGAAGATACTCATATAGATTATTTTGGTAAATTATTAAAGGAATACTCTCAATATGAGTATCAACCACGNGAAACAATAAAAATTCAAAAACTTGAAACAATTGAACCTGTTGCTAAAGCTCAAAAACATATTCAAATACTGCATAGTTGCAGCGATATGACAACAAATGCAGATGGACATTGAGTTTGTAGCTATTACAATACAAAAACAATTTATATTTATGATTCATTGAATTTGAAACAACTGCATATACACCATAAAACATTTCTTGAAAAGTTGTATCTATTTTACGATTTTAATACTCAATCGGTATATTTTTCAACAGTTCAAACTCAATCTAACGGCAATGATTGTGGAGTCTTTGCAATTGCTTTTGCAGTGTCACTTTACTACGGTGTTCGACCAAATATTGTTACGTATAATCATAGCTTAATGCGTCAACATTTAGCACAAATATTTGAAACAAATAAAATAGATCAGTTTCCTGAAATTGCAAGACTTAATGATAATGATAACAATGTTAATGAAGAATTCAATACAAATAGATATAATATAAAACGAAAATTAAGTCCCCTTAAAATAAAAAATAATAAAAAGCAAACTACTGAGTGTAATTTGAACCAGTTAAATAAAGCCCGCTTATCTCCAAATATCAGTCTTAGAATCATGACACATCCAAATTTATTCCTATCGTTATTTCCATTGAAACCTAACAAATGAAACAAAACCGAATTTATCAAGATACAAATCTCTAAGATGATTTAAGTTGTATAAACATGGGTTAAGAGGCTGGCTACACTAAAGAACTCGCACTCTCTTTTTCTCTCACACTCGCGTTCTAGCGTGTAGATTACATTGTACGAAACGATTATATGCTCCTTTATTGTATTAATTTCTGCATGTCTGTTATTAATTCAGTGATTTCAATTTTTCAATAAATATAACTACTTTATAATGTGTGGAATCAAACTAAAGAATTATTCTCTGTTATCCTCTTCGTATAACCCACTCTCACTTCCTCGTTACAATCGCTAGGTCCCGTCCTTGGTAAATGAGACTTGCGTCTCAGACCTAAAAAGGGACCAACGAGTGAGTGTTCGCTAAACAGAGTAAGATCGGCGTACGCCGTTGACCTGTCGACGAATATAAATAAACTCGCTCGACTCTCTCACAGCAGGTCTTCCGTGTCCACTGTAGAAAGAGATATGGAAAACGACGCGTTTACTGTTGCGTCACACCACAGCCCGACCGTATCCATGGGCCAGGACGTAACATAGGCTTTCAATTTCTTTCTTTACAAATTGTCCAATATATAGGTATTCTCATATTAGATCATAACGTCGGTCGGCAGCAAAAATAAAAGCTTTGATGTGTTTACTGTAGACACTTGAACGCGCGACGTTCTACGTTTGTCGCTCNTTTCATACATCGAGATTTCCGTGTTGGTGACATCGCACTTTGTGGAATCAATTGACAACAATGTAATTTTTCGAAATACATGAAATGTCATGCATTTTCCCATAGAAAATGAACTTAAAATATTAAACTTTGCTACAGAGATCTTTCATGTTACAATATTAAACATTTTCACAACAATTATATAATACAAATTTTATGCAATGATGATAGGTAATATTATGAAGAAAGTAGTGGTCTTCCGCACTACCCATGANATGCCACTAATAGCGCGTTAGGTTTTTTAACGTGGACCTTCGCCTGTAGCTCTATTCTACCACGTTTTATTTCGCATCTGTTAGGTTTTTAAATATGGATGTCGGATATATAGAATGTCTAGTGTTTTTTATATTGAAAGAAGTAAATCGCAATAGTGTTATTTTAATATAAAAAGTTTATTTAGAATATATATAATATTTAGAATATATATAATATAAAATAGTTGGCTCCAATTATTCAGTATTATATTAATTTTATTAATACTTAATATAATATTGAATAATTGGAGCGTTCCTCTTCCGCGCGGGCCTCCTCTTCCGCGCAGGCCTTTTCTTCCGCGCGGGAATAATCCGCTGGCACCGCCTTGGCCACCCCGCTGGTACCAGTGGGCTCTGGCGCGGCCCGCTCCTCTTCTGTGTCTTCCTAAAATGAGGATTATTAATAAGAAAATATTTCTAATTATTATATTGAGTTACTAATAGTTGCGTTATATTAAATAAATAACTTACTAGTCGAATTGTTACGCATCTCCTGCTGCTGCTGTTGTTGGGGCTGCTGCTGTTGTTGGGGCTGCTGCTGCTGCTGTTGCAGTTGCAACATTTGTTGTTGCAACTGCTGTTGCATCATTTTTACGTTGAGCAGCATTTGCTACATAGATTCTTCTTCTTCTGTTGACAAATCACATATATATAATTATTACATAAAATCAATATACTGACACGGGATGCTTTCCAGCTACAGTTACAGTGTCTATTAGTGTGAAAAAGAGCATATCAGTGTGTCTCATTTGCACTAA